GGCTTTAGCGAGGAGTGTTGATACTTTAGGTAGGAGCATTGATCCATTGTAACAGGAAGGAAGACAAAGTATGTGATACTGACTATGAAAAGGTTTATGTTAGAGTAGATGATCTGTTGAAAGTGAAAAATTGAAAGTGTTAGTTGCTCAGTCATGTCCGACTCTTTTCAACCCCGTGGACTGCAGCCCTTTAGGCTCCTCTGTCCATGGAATTTTCCAAGCAAGAATACTGAAGTGGGTTACCAGTCCCTTTTCCAGGGGATCTTCCCCACCTGGGGATTGAACCATATCTCCTGCATTGCAGGCAAATTCTTTACCATCTGCGCCACCAGGGAAGCCTGAGGTCTGCCAGGCTCCTCTGTCCATGGAATTTTCCAGGCAGGAATACTGGAGAAGGTAACCATTCCCTTCTCCAAATGTTCTTCCAACCCAGGGCTTGAGCCAGGGTCTCCTGGCTTACACGCAGATTCTTTATCATCTGAGCCATCAGGGAAGCCCATCATCTGTTGAAGATCCATTGAAAAATAATTACTATTGTTTTTTGTTGATGGTGGGGTTTTTCTATTAGGGTTATTATCTTTAAATACTTTACTGTGGCGGGGGGCGGGGCATGGGAGAAGATAGTGATTTTTACCAAAAACTGTATATTACTAAGAGAAATGTGCCATACTTCCAGAGTTATAGTAAATATTTAAAAAAGAATTGCCTGCATCTCCTGGTGAGGTGTGAGGAGTTGGTAGAATGAATATATGAGGAAAGGCAAGAATACATTAGGATTTAAGTCTAGTAGGCCAAACAAACAAAAACTGAGGCTGTTGCCACATGAGTGACTTTGTACCAACACTGCCCAAAGGAGAAGGTCATGGAATTTCTAAAAATCCTTCCCTTTCAATCCTTGTTGATTCTTTTGACCTCACCCGCACTGCATACCTCCTTGACTAAAAGCAGAATCACTTCTTTTCCTGCCTTCCTGTTTTGGCTTATTCTGTGACCTCCATTTAGAGTGGCTTTCTCCATCAGCTTTGCTTGTCTTAATCTCAGTCTCTTCTTCAAAATATCTATAGCAACAGTATTGGTTCCTTCACAGTGATAAATGTACCATACCAATAATAGATGTTAATATAAGGGAAACTGGGTATGACGTATACAGGAACTCTGTATTATCTTTGCAATAATCCTGTAAGCCTAAAACTGTTCTTAAAAAAAAGTTTATTTAAAAAAAAGTAGCTATAGAAAAGTATAAAAAGTTCTACGAGGCTTACATTTTAGAAATACCTAGTACAGCAAATAATTATCACAAACCATAGATTTAAATGCCGGTTTGAAACCACAGGCATTCAGCAAACACTTACTGAGCTACGCCCTTGGCGATGCAGTGTTTACCATAGACAAATTTCCCAAATGTCGTTGCTCACCGAGTCCCAACCCTCTTCTATCTTCTTTTCCGTCTCTAACACCAGACCTCAGAATGAATGATCACACGCATCAGAATTAAGTGGCTGAGCCCTGGCGTGATCTCACCAAGCCATAGCCTCTGGTGAGGCCCTAAAGCCTTATGTATCTTTCAGGTGCTACTCATGTACTGACATTTGAGGACCGCTAGCTTAGGTCAGTTTCCCTGATGGCTGTCCAGGGTTTGATCTGCCCTCTTAACCCTCCAGCTTGTAGGGAATTTGTCATCCTCCAAGTACATTAACCTTGTTGATGGCCAGTTTATCCAAAAACTGGATATTGGAATCCAAAATATTCAGTTTATTTATAATTTATGGAGCTGGGCTTTTGCTTTAGCAGATTATCAGGTTAGAGTAGTTTTCAAAAGGACAGTTTATAGGATGAGGTTTCTCTAGGGGGGATGGCATTGCATAAAAATACTTTCTAAGTGCCAGAAATGAAGTGGCAGCTGGAAAATTTGAAGAGAGAGTTTTGATCTCCTGTGTGCTGGTTTCCCTTTTATGTACACATTTGTCATGCTCTGCCATAGATTTATCATGCTCTGCCATAGATTTATCATGCTCTGCCATAGATCAGTGTTGTCAAAAGTGGTCTTTATGCTTGCATTCCTATGGCAGACATCAGTATTTTGACCATTTGTAGTAACAGATTGCAAACCTTTCTTGGCTATTGAATTGGAACCCTGAGATTTGAAAAGTCCACCTATTCAGAAACTGAGTCATGAGTAAAAGAATAAAACCAAAGGAGCCACATGGTTTTGGGTAAATTAGAACAAGTAAAAAAAAAATCCTTAAACACTACAGGTTTCCACCACAGTGAAGGAGCCATAATATATATATGCCTTTTTAGCTGATTGAGGGTCTGTATGCCAGGAAACTGTCTTAGTGCTGAGACATAAAAAGCTCTGGGAGCTGCCTCTGTGACTTGGGCTAAGGATTATAAGCATAAATGAAAAGCGATTGAAATTGTCATTTTAAGATCTTTTTAGCCCTGGGAAGTCATATTTTTGAAGGTCTTATCCCTCATCATACCACCTGCCGCATGCCAAAATGAAAAGCAGTTTTTACATTTTGTTTTTTGAAGTATTGGCCTATGGAATAAATTGCCAGGCTTCCCTGGTGACTGAGACAGTAAAGAATCTTCCTGCAATGTAAGAGACCCGGGTTCGATCCCTGGGTCAGGAAGATCCCCTGGAGAAGGAAATGACAACCCACTCCAGTATTCTTACCTGGAAAACCTCATGGACAGAGAAGTCTGGCAGGCTTCAACCCATGGGGTCGCACAGAGTTGGACATGACTGAGCAACTAACAAGCACACGCAGTACTTTCCAAAGCCCCTGAAAAGGCCTGTGCCCTGTACTTCTTATGCCTGATGATAAAGCACCCTTAGACTGAGGGTGAGATATTCAGTGTAAAGCAAGGATGCATGTCCTGTTAAAGAACCACAGTGGTCACTGGCCTAAAATTCTCGAAGGCAGGAGAATGTGAAGCATTGTTGTTTGGAATGTGTTTCTGACTTGAACCTCTCCAGAACCTTGCTCTTCAAAAGTTGGATTGTGAATCAACAGCATGAACATTTCCTGGCGCTTGTAAGAAATGCAGAACTTTTGGCCCTATCTCAAGCCAGCTGAATCATGATCTACATCTTAAGTGATCACCAGGCATCCATGGAAGTTTGTCTAACTTTTAAAAATGTTTGTCTAGAGCAGTGGTTCTCAACTCTGGGTGTGCAAAGGAATCACCTGGGAGCTTTACTGATCCTGAGATTCACATTGTGCCCCAGTCCAATTATTAAATCTTTGGGGTGTGATCCAGACATCTGTGTTTTTTAAAGCTCCCCAGTGATTCCAGTAAGCAGTCAGCTTGAGGCTCACAGGTCCTTCATAAAGTCAGAGAGAGTCCTTGTTGTTTACCAGCAAGTGCTGTTCAAGAAGCCGTGGATTTTGTTCATGTGTTTGGAATCCAGCATATAAATTACAAATGAGTAGTCTTTGGCAAGGAATCATCTCACTTGGAAGGTTGAGTTTGTTGGCTCCTTTCCACAGCATTGGGTCCAATAATCCAAATCTCAGATATGTCATGTTTTACTAACACTAGAGGTTACTGTTTCTGAACAACAGTTCAAGCTAGAGTTGCAGGCCAGAAGGTGGTTTTGATGTGAAACTCAGGTATCATGGTTCTGTGTATGTTTCTTCATTGACTATTGAAGGAAAACATTTGTTAAGGATGCAAAATTTTCTTCTTTAAACTTAGAAGCCCAGCAATGCAATAGGTGCTGGACAAAGAGCCCCTTCCTTGCCTGATAGCATTCCATTTTCTGATAATTAAGCTTTAGTTTTATATACTAAGATGTGAATGAACTGCTTTAGAAACTTAACCAGTTACCACCTTGGATTTCATCAGTGAACATTTATGTTCTCCAGAAACTATAAATATTCTTCTAATGAGTAAATATTCTTTTAATCTCTATTTTACAAGTAGGATAACCAAGGTGTGAGGTTGATGAGGTGTTTTGTTTTGTTTCATGTTATTTTACCTAGGGTCATACAATTACGTCCCTCAGTTACAAATCCTGCAATGAGAACTAGGGCCTCATCACATCACAAGCACTTCCTTATGCATGCATCTTAGGAAAGGCCAAAGAGATTTTAAATATCAATCATTTATAAACTGGTGCTTGGTTTCTGGTGGTTTGGGGAGTGACCTATCTTGTTTCAATAAATGCTGTTATCTGACATTAAATGAGCCAATTGGAATTGCATTCAGTTTTGAACATATGCTCTTGTAGCTGTAAAAAGGAGCAGATTTTTAAAAAATTGCTTAACTCAAGAGTTAACCAAGGATGCTTACTAAATCTTCCTTTTATAATCTCCCTAGCAAGATACAGATGACTATATATGGCCCCTCTGACAGGCTTTCCCTAATTCTCTAGCCCAGAGATGCCCCATTCTCTAAACTGCTGTAACACTGTCAGTTTCACACAGCTTAGTACTAGGATATAGACAATTTCACAGTCTGTAATGGTTTCTTTAGTGGCAATCTTGTCACCATGGAGAGGGAATCTGACTCCCATAGCTCTTACATGCCCGCTAACACCTTAAATAGGGAAGAGCAGAGAGAAGACAGTCAAATAAATACTCAATATACTCTATTGCTTTAGCCTGCCCATTTCATCTGTGGGCTCTCTCTCTTTTGCTGTATTTTATAAGTTTTTATACTTTCTTCCATGTTAATAAAATATAGACTGTTGTAAATTTATTTAAAAATTTTTGCTTTGTTTAGAAATTTAAAAATTGTAAAACATCAAGACAATATAATTCTGAGTCATATGAATTTATAGATTTTTCTGCATATCATTTCAGTGATGGATTCTTTTACTTTTTTTTCCTAGGTGTCCTCTTTTTTATTTCAAATGTGAATTATCTAATATTGTTCCACAGGCTTACTAAAGAGGTTTTCTTTTGTCTTAATTACTTTATTCTTGCCTAATAAATGGTTTTCACTAATGTGAAGTTTTCAACTTAAAATGTATTCTTTTTTATCACTAGCGTCATTATTACAACAGTTCTGTACCTGTCAGATGCACTTCGGAAGAACTTCTTAAATGAAAACTTTGATTATAAGGTCAGTATCCATTTAGATAACTATCTTGCTTGGGCTAAAAGGTTTTACATTATCCCTCAAGAAATTGCCTCATGAATTTTCTTTCTCTTACTAATAGGAAAATAAAATTATTCTGGCTACCTCAAATTAATCTTGGAGCATATTAGTTTCAATTATGAATAATGTTGAGTTCCTCATTCTATTTGTGAATAAGTTAGGTCTATAACTATGTTCATCAACCTGGTCAAAATCATAGTGCTTAAGAGGAAAGAATGTTCTTTACTGTTACTGTAAATTTTAATTATTTTTCTTTTTGATCCCCTGCATGACAAAAAGAACTTAGAGCATAATGTTTTAAAACATCTTTTAAAATAGAGTTTATATAAAGAACATATTTACAAAGTAAACTGTTTAGTTCCTTTAGATCTCTATCTTCTTATATTTTAGAATGAACTAGTGAAAAGAAAAAAAATGAAAAATTAGTAAGATTCTTTAGGGCAGATCTCTCTGTAAGTTTGTAATGTAATATGATATGCCTGGGTCTCTAAGAATTCTCAGTATACCATTTTTTAAATAGAAAATGAAAAATGGTAAATAAAGATGGGAAGTTCCTATCCTGGTTTCCCTTCTTAGTGGTGGTTTATGTTTTTGACATCTTAATTTCCCATTCTTTTAAAAATAACATATTTTATACTAAACATTCAATAAAATTTCCTTATCAGAGAACTAGAAAATACAAAAAGTATAATAGAAACCAGTGGAATTTTAATGGTTGCATAATAGATGTCTTTATACTTTATAACAATCAAAATATCAAAATTTCATAATCACCACATTACTTTTTAATATTCAGTTTGTTTCTACTGTTTTATTCTCATAAATTACTCTTTTTATGTATTTCTTACAAAATAAAATTTGACTTATATTCCTAGTTGTTTCTTTGGATAAATATTTATAAATGAAAATGTTGAGTTAAAGGTTGTAGCAATTATATTTGATTACCTAGGTGTACATCAGCACTAGAGGAGACCATTTTGGGGGGCACTTTGATAAGCAGAACAATTTTTTGCTTGATTTACATTTCTCACTGAGGTGAAGTGAAGTCGCTCAGTCATGTCTGACTCTTTGAACCCCATGGACTGTAGCCTGCCAGGTTCCCCCATCCATGGGATTTTCCAGGCAAGGATACTGGAGTGGGTTGCTATTTCCTTCCCAACCCAGGGATCGAACCGGGGTCTCCTGTATTGCAGGCAGATTCTTTACCATCTGAGCCAAGAGGAAGCCCACATTTCTCACTAGTTATGTTTTTAATTATTCATTGGTTATTAATCACTAACTAGTTATTAGCTATTGACTAATTATTGACTAAAATTCATGTTTTGTGAGGTATCTGTTCTTTTGTTCATTATTTTGCTTTTGTTCATTTTGTTCATTTTGTTCTTTTGTTCATTCTTTTGTTCATTATAGTTTTTTTGTTTCTTTTTTTTAGAAAAGCATTTTTTTTTTATTAGTTGGAGGCTAATTACTTTACAATATTGTAGTGGGTTTTGTCATACATTGACATGAATCAGCCATGGATTTACATGTGTTCCCCATCCCGATCCCCCCTCCCACCTCCCTCTCTGCCCATTTTATATTCTTTTTTATTTGTGAGCACTCTTTATGTATAAAATATATTAATTCTTTATAATGTTTCATATTAATCTTTAATTTTACATGGTGTCCATAGAAAAGTCATTTCTTTCCCTATGTCCTCCATGTTTTTGGTTACATTTATTTCTGGAATTTTATTTTGATCTCTTTCTAATGCATTTTTGGTGTAAGAGAACTTAGAAGATTTGTCTGGGTGGGGAATTTCTATGTACTCTCTGAATTTAAATCAATTAGCATATCCAAAATAGTGTATGTATCTTTTTTTTTTTTGAGTCCTACATTAAAAGGGTTTCCAAAATGAAATCACACTGAAATAAAGTTATCCAGCTTATGCCTCAGCCTTCTTGGAGACACACAGACATGTTATGAGAAAAATGAAGTATCTACCATTTAGCATATACCAGAGAGCCCATGAAACTTGGGATACAGTAATATAAAAATAGTATCTATTTAGTTAGTTTGCTTCTTTGTTATAGGAAATTTCACGGATGTATAAAAGTAAAGAGAATAGTATGATGAATCCCTCATGTACCCATACCCAGGTTCAGCTACTATCAACTCATGGCCCATCTTATTGCAACTCTCCCCCCATCCACTTACCACTTTTGAAGCAAATCCAAGATATTTTGTCACTTCACCTGTAAATATTTTTGTAACCCCATAGTATTTAAATGTGTCATTCTCATTTTAGATCTGGGATTCCTACTTTTACCTTGCGGTCATTTTTATAAACCAGTTGTGTCTGCAGTTAGAGATGTTTACACCTTCCAAAAAGAAAAAGGTATTAGAAAAGTAAGTACCAGTGTATAATTGGGTAAGAATATGAGTCAAATCAAATGTTGTGCCCTTTAAAAAGTATTTTACTTGGAGTGATTCATAAATCTGATCTCCATAACTAGAAATCAAAGTGGAGAGGCAATGACCAAGAGGACAGCAAGCGACTTTTCTGGGGATTTCACTATTTTGAGCTTATTTAGAAATCTTTGTCCTCAATCTTTCAGGATTCAAAAATACTATAGGAGCCAAAAATTATGAGACAAATATGTTTCACTCAGGGGTTAATATGTGAATTTGAATTAGAGGCATCAAGACATGTATTAATACATTGTACAAATTTCCAGTTATAAAATGAATGCCAAGGGGATGTAATGTACATATAACACTGGTGATTCTCGTTAATAATACTGCATTGCATATTTGAAAGTAGCTAAGAGAGTGCATCTTGAAAGTTTTCATCAAAAGAGAAAACATTGTGACTAGTTATGGTGACGGGTATCAACTGGACTCACTGTGGTGGCAATTTTGCAATATATACAGATATTCAAATTGTTATGTATATGTCAGTTATACCTCAGTAAAAGATGTGCACATTAAACATTTTTAATTAAGAACATGTTGTCTTTTAATTCAGAATGATAGATTGTGTCCTAAAAAGACACAGATAACTTATTTTTTCTGGAGTCTTTGTATCAGGTTTGATTTCTGTTCTATTTCAGATATGGTGACATGCGGGTAACAATGGGTTGTGAAATTTTCAGCATGTGGCAAAATCTAGGTAAGTAATGAAAAAAGAAGCCACCTCTTTGTTGTAGCTTATCACTGTCCTTGTAAGGAAACAAGTGAAGATGGACAGTTTACCACTGACAGCATTTGAAACCAAGTGTCTAAATCAATAAAGAAGTCTAGAGAGACTAAGGGACACTTTGGCATAGAATAAGGCTACAACTGATTCTTTAAATTGGTATCTGTCTGAAAAATCACCTTCCTTTTGTGTGTTTCACTGAATGACAAATTTTATAATCTAGCATTATTCCAGTAAGACCTGCAATGAGCTAACCTTTCAGAATTGGGAATTATAGCAACTCAGAATGAATTGAGGCTGTGAATCATAACAAATTTAGAATAAGGTTCATGAAACATTGACTTGAGCATCTGTACTCTTAAAATCTTGAAACCAATGGCCTATATCATAAAGACTATAGCCAAAGGATTTTAAAGCATCTGTAGTTGCTAAGAAACGATTAGATCCAGTTTTGTTAATCTGCCACAGCAAATAGAGCATATTATCCAGCAAATTGATGACACAGATCTGGTTGCATAAGAAAATAATATTTAGAAGAAACATTGTTTTAAAATCTCATTGGCATTGGGTTTCTTATAGAAAGTCATGACTTACTTAATTTGACATGTTAATTATGCATGTTTATAACTCTGCTCTGCTTAGTTGCTCAGTTGTGTCCTATTCTTTTCGACCCTTTGGACTGTAGCCCACCAGGCCCCTCTGTCCCTGAGATTTTTCAGGCAGGAATACTGGAGTGGGTTGCCATTTCCTCCTCCAGGGTATCTTCCCCACCCAGGGATTCCTTGTGATTTATTAAAGTGATAGACCTATTTGAATTGAATATATAATGACCTGAAACTATATTTTCTCTTGGACTTATCCAAACACAACTTGAAAATGGCAGAATTTGTTTTCTATAACTGGAAATACAACCCTTATCATTTTACTTCAATTCATGTTACAGAAGTGATATTTGACCAAGATACCCCTCAAATGTAGAATACATACAGGGCAATTTGAAGAAACCTTGTTATATATAATTGAGCCCAGGGTTCAATGCTCACTGATAATTTCAGTGGGGGAAAAAAGGAAGTTACCACTTGAAAGCAACCTCCAACCATCTAAAACCAGCCAGAGAAGCCCATGAAATCTGTTTAGATTCAACTGAAAAATAACCTCAATTTATCTTATTTGAAGAACACCTCCTCTCAGTCTTCATGTTTCATTGATTCTTTGTGCTTTGTTTTTCAAAAACAGATCAAGACCCTTGGAATGTCCCTATTGCTTTTGGCATTAGTTTAGCAAAGTGTTTTCCAAAGAAGGCTACACTGAAGTGTGGTTGTGGCTTAGGCTCTTATCAGAGCTCAAATGATAAGACCTGGACAGTTCACTTGAGTTAACAGAATATGAGAAAATGGCAGGTTAACATCTTCTAGATAAATCTTAGCACAGTCATGTGTGGTTATTTCCACATAAATCTTTCTCTAAGCCAGCATACCTGTGTCCTTAGGCCCATGATCTGCTAAATAAAACTGGCACCTTTTGTTGCATTAAAGATGTCATTGTTTGCTTCGTAAACTTTTCTCCTCTATTTTGTCTTTAACAAAAATATGTCTACCTCTCTGGGTTTTGTTTTCCTCAGAAACCCAAAGAATGTAAAAAATCTCTAAAGCATGCTGGTCCCCATAACATATTATGATGTCAGTACTCTTTAGAACAGTGGGTCCCAGGTGGCTTAGTGATAAAGAATTGCCCCTGCCAAACAGGAAATGTGGGTTCAATCCCTGGGTTGGGAAGATACCTAGGGGAAGGAAATGGCAATCCACTCCAGTATTCTTGCCTGGAGAATCTCATGGGCAGAGGAGCCTAGTAGGCTACAGTCCATGGGATCGCAAAGAGTTGGCCACAACTTAGCAACTGAACAACAATAGCACTTAGTAAACAGCATCACCTGGAAGCTTGTAAGAAATGCAAATTCTTTGGCTCCTCTCAAGACTACTGAAACAGAGTCTCTGAGAATCTCTGAGAGGAGGCACAACAGTCTTGAATTTTCCCAAGTTCTCCAGGTGATTCTTAGGCACTTGGCTAAAGACTGAAAAGCACTGCTGACAGCACTCTAGCCTTTCTTTGTTTTTCCAACCCTAAAGTCTAGCTCTAGCACCCTGTTATAAAAGGCTCATTATAATCAAATGCAAATTCCCAGCATGACATAGTTCAAGTATAAGGTGTGTGTACATTTTCACTTCATTCCTAGGTTTCTGCATTATTTCCCTAGAGTTGTGGTCATAGCCTTCCAAAACATGAGGTGAATTTTAAAGGTCATTGTTGCCATACAACAATTGGAATTGGAGACTGTTTAGAAATATAAAACCTCTTTTCCAATGTATATTTTTACAAAATGTTAAGAAAAATTAAGTATTCATGGTACTATTTTAACACCCCTCAAAGGGCTTAAGTCAGCATGTTACTTAAGAATATCAATATATATTAGTTATAATTTGGATTACCTATAAATGTATAATATTGAGTGTTTTGCTTGCTAAAGGAGAATTTATTCAGATAATTAAAGGTTTTCATTTTATACCATACACAAAAATTTTAAATGGATTAAAGACTTGAATATAAGACCTGAAACTATAAAACTCTAAAAAGAAAACATAGACAGTACAGTCTTTGACATCAGTCTTAGCAATATCTTCCTAAGTATGTCTACTTAGGCAAGGGAAACAAAAGCAAATATAAACCAATGGGATTAAATAAAACTTAGAAATGTCTGCACAGCAAAGGAAACAATCAACAAAACAACAAACTACCTACTGAATGGGAGAAGATATTTGCAAATCATATATCCAGTAAGAGGTTATTATCCAAATATATGGGGCATCTCAGGTGGCACAGTGGTAAAGAATCTGCCCTGCCAATGCAGGAGACACAGGTTTGATCCCTGGGTCGGGAAGATCCCCTAGAGAAGGGGATGGCTACCCCACTGTAGTATTCTTCCTGGAGAATTCCACGGATAGAGGAGCCTGGCAGGCTACAGTCCATGGGGTCACAAAGAGTTAGAAATGACTGAGCAATTTAGCACTCATACAGCTCAACCACAGCAACAAATGATTAAAAAATGGGCAGAGAATCTGAATAGACATATTTTCAAAGGAGACGTGCAGATGACCAGCAGGCACATGAAAAGATGTTTAACATCACTAATTATTAGGGAAATGTCAATCAAAACCACAATGAGATATCATTTCATGCCCATTAGAATGGCTGTTATCAAAAAGATAAGAAGTAATAGTTCTGAACAGGATGTGAAAGAAGGGAAACCGTCATATACTGTCGGTGATAATTTTCTGTAGTGGCTGCACCAATTGACATTGATAAATTTGGTAAATTGGTACAGCCACTATGGGAAAAAGCATGAAGAGTCCTCAAAAAATTAAGATTAGATCTACCATGTGACCCAGCAATTCCGCTTCTGGATATCCAAAGAATACCAAAAAAGTAATTTGTACAGATATATGCACTCCAGTATTCATTGCAGCGTTATTTGTTATAGCCAAGATATGGAAACAACCTAACTCTCCATTAACAGAAGAATGGGTCAAGAGATTGTATATACAAAGAATGGAATACTACTCTGTCATAGGAAAGGTGAAATATTGTCATTTGTGATAACCTAGAGGGTATTATGGGTGTCCCTGATGGTTCAGATGGTGAAGAATCCGCATACGATGCAGGAGACCTGGGTTCGATCTCTGGGTTGGGAAGAACCCCTGGAAAGGGAATGGCTACCCACTCCAGAATTCTATCTAGTCTGGAAAATTCCATGGACTGTATAGTCCATGGGGTCAACAAAGAGTCGGACACTACTGAGCAACTTTCACTGAAACCAAAACTGAGAGGGTGTTATGCTAAGTGAAACAAATCAGGCAATGACAGTTACCATATGACTGCACTCATGAAGAATATTAAAGTAAATAAATGAACAAAGGGAGACAAAAGTAAGCATATAGAGGATGGATTAGTGACTACCAGATGGGAAGGGAAGCTGCTGTTGCTCTTCAGTCCCTAAGTCATGTCCAACTCTTCGAGACCCCATGGACTGCAGCCCACCAGGCTTCCCTGTCTTTCACATTCTCCTGGAGTCTGCTCAAACTCATATCCATTGAGTCGGTGATGCCATCCAGCTATCTCATCCTCTGTCACCCACTTTTCTTCCTGTCATCAATCTTGCCCAGCATCATGGTCTTTTTCAATGAGTCGGCTCTTCACATCAAGTGGCCAGAGTATTGGAGCTTCAGCTTCAGTGAATATTCCAATGAATATTCAGGGTTGATTTCCTTTAGGACTTAATCCGCTTGCTGTCCAAGGGACCCTCAAGAGTCTTCTCCAGCATCACAGTTTAAAAGCATCAATTCTTCGGCACTCAGCCTTCTTTATGTTCCAACTCTCACATCCATACATAATAACTGGAAAAATGGTAGTTTTGACTATATAGACCTCTGTCAGCAAAGTGATGTCTCTGCTTTTTAATATGCTATCTAGTTTTATCATAACTTTTCTCCAAGGAGCAAGCGTCTTTTAATTTCATGGCTGCAATCACCATCTGCAGTGATTCTGGAGCCTAAAAAAATAAAGTCTGTTACTGCTTCCACTTTTCCCCCTTCTATTAATATTTGCCATCAAGTGATGGGCCTGGATGCCATGATCTTAGTTTTTTGAATGTTGAGTTTTAAGCCAGCATTTCACTCTCCTCTTTTACCCTCATCAAGAGGCTCTTTAGTTCCTCTTCACTTTCTGCAGATATGCTGTCATCTGCATATGTGAGGTTTTTGATATTTTTTCGGCAATCTTAATTCCAGCTTGTGCTTCAACCAGCCTGGCATTTTGCCTGTTGTACTCTGTAAGTTAAATAAGCACAGTAATAATATATAGCCTTGATGTACTCCTTTCCCAGTTTTGAACCAGTCCATTGTTCCATGTCCAATTCTAAC